TTAATCTTATCAGATAGCGGAGACGAGAGTGTGTACGCATACACGCGACAGGATCGAATAAATTATCTTATTTACCGGCCAGCTTTGGAGAATTGAACGCTCGATAAAGCGTGAACCGCATAAATAAGCGGTCGAAATATATTTGGTTTCCGTGACGCCATTATCAACTTGTGTGACTCCTCTCGAGGATCCACGTGGGACAGAATTTGAATTTTCGGGCCTGGCCGATTCCTTGACGGCGCACGAATTCTGTGTTTTTAATTTAGTCTCGCGTGCACGTGTTAATTTACGTATGTAAATTACGTGTATGTTAATTTTTTTCAATGAATTTTGCTCTTTTCTTTTCTTTCTTCTTTTCTTTCTTGGATCGAATATATATATATATATATTTGAAAGAGATGATCGAACCGAAAAAGAAAAAGAAAGTGGGAAGATTCATTATTCAGTTTCGAGATTGTGGGATTGAAGATGGTGGATACGTTGGTGTAATGAAAGTAATCGAGTGAGCGGAGAATATTGGAAAATTGGATTGCCTACGTGTTCCTCTTCCTAGTCGCCTATTTGGGATAATAGAGTAAGTCGATTGTTGGGCATTAAGCTTTCACAAATTGGTTCAGAGTGGAGTCAGATAAAGTTTCTAGGGGATTAGATGCGGTGGAATTTAGTTTGTGTTTAGAATTAGATGACATGAGTTATCCAGTTTGGATTATTGTTTGAAGATCGTAAAATTTTGTTCTATTTCGATTTTTAACTGGGAATAAAAATACAGATTTTATTTATTAGAAATATCTCTATTTTTCGTGAATGAACTGAATATTTATTTTTTCTATTCAAGTTAATTTGCTATTTTGTATTTATAATATGAAATTTATATGAAATTACGTTAAAATGTTTAGATTTCATTTTTAAATAAGTTAAAATGATTATGAGAATTCTTTCAATATTTTTTTTCAAAGTAAATTAATATAATGTATTATAAAAATAATAATATATGAAATTTTATTATATTATAAATCATCATGAAATTTAAATTTAATTTTTGAGTAAATAGATTATTAAAAGTTATTCCTCAATTTCTTTCTATTTCTCATAATTTCATGAAAATTTATTAAAATTTGTATTTCAAAATTTTAATTCAAAATTTTATATCTATTATATAAAATCTATTTCTAGAATAAAATTGTCTTCTAATTCTTTTTTATCTTTACATTTTTTCAAAATACTTAAAATTTCATTTAAAATTTTTAATAATTAAAAATCTATATTAATAACTAAAAATCTATATATATCTTCTAAATTATATAATATATATAATAATATGAATCATTAAAGAAATAATAAAATGTAAAATTATATTTTATATTTTATATTTTAAAGTAAAATCATTAAAAAACTAAAATAAAATTTAAAAATTAAATTTTATACTCAAAATTATCTATTCCGTTTTTAAACTAAAAATCACCATTTACAAAATTTCTCTTTATGAAGTATCTATATTTCCAAATTGTGCAAAAGGTATACCTTGTGCACCTGTCTCATAAATTCCAATATAAACCATCATCGAAACAATGGAACATAGAACTTTATTACATGGTTCGCGTCAGCGAATAGTCTATGCTCACAATATAATCCGCTCAAGTATAGTTCATTCAGCGCAATTTGCAACACGTAAGTGTAAATACTTGTTGCAGTGCTGGCAAACGTTGAGTAGACACTGAACGACGTTATGTGTCTTTTCGCCTAACGAGCATGCGCGAACGTGTAACGCGAGTAAATCTGCTTTCGGAATTTAACGCTCGGAAATGGTGGTTTATGCGTTTCCGGGCGTCGTTAATGCGATCTTTACGAACCGCTTGGATGACCGGTCTTTGTAATAAGTCTTGCAAACGAGGCGGATGATTTTTTTAGACCGAAGGCTACGCCTGAATTTTCGAATAATTTCCAATCAGCTTAGAATATTCTCTGACTGATTTATTTGAGTCGTTAAGGGCGCATAATGATGGAGCATGAATTATTGTTGAACATGAAGTGGAGTTATGTGTATGACATAAACAGAGCTGGGGAAAATAGATAAAGGAATAAGTGGTAAGATTTTGCGAATGAAATTCTCTTCTAAATAATATTTCGATTACATGGAATATAAATATTGTTTGGAAATGAATATTTAATTGAAATATAAAAAAAAAAATATTTCAAGTAATATAGTTTCAAGTAAAATAGTTTTTTAATTTTAATATTATTAAAATATAAATCGTATTATCGTATAATGTAAAATATGTAAAAGTTTAATCTATTTTTGATATTTAAAAAATGAATAATATAATAATAAAATATAATCAATTGAATGAAAAGTAAATATTTTATTTACATTGAATCTGAATGTATAAATAAAACTATATGTAAATAAAATTTATTTGGAATTAAATGAAATAAAATTTTCAATAATATTTGCTTAGAAATATTTTATTTTTAGTACTAGTACTTCTAATAGTTTTTTCGTAATTTTTTAAATATTTTTTATTAAACTTATAAAAAATATAAAATATATACAAATTATTTTTCTATGAATATATAAAAGAATTGAATATTTTTAACTAATAAAATAATTATGAAACACTTATTGCAATTATATTTCTTAATTGTAATTTATACTTGCTAATAAATTATTATTGAAATGAAGTTATATGTGTGAAGTTATATATCTATATATATATATATATGTAGGAATCATTTTCTTTTATTTTGTAAAGAAATATTGAATTATATTTAACTGTAGTATAACTGTATAGTATAAAATAATTATGAATCGTATATCACGATTATTTATGCTATCAAATCGAGGTTGTTGTTGATTTATGATTTATGATTGAAAGTGAAATTGAATTATATGACATGTAAATATAGAAATCGTATCTCGTTTATCTCATAAGAGATTATTTTTACTGAAATAAAATAAAATTGAAATCAAATAGATTAATCGTATTTACTTAGATTATTTTTAAGAAATCAAGGACAGTCAGTTTTGCGTTTAATTCAAACTTATCGAAATTGAAAGAGAAAAAGAGAAAGGAAAGAAAAATAATCCTATGATTCTATGATAATACACATCGATCGTAAATTCTTAATACGCAATAATAAATTTTGCGTAATCATGTTACATTGTTAACAAATTTGTAATCAAATTTCATCAATGATTTAAATTCGTCTTTTAAATTTCGAATTTAAATTTGAATGTTTTCAATTAAAATCTAAATTTTAAAATTTTGTCTTTCAATAATTTCAATTAAAATTGTTAAATTCAAACGAAACAAATTTATATTTTAAAATCGAATTCTTAATTTTAATTCGTATCACTTAATCTCCAATAATTTCTCCAAAAATTCAAATTTAAATTTTAATTTAAAAATTGAATTTCAAAATTCATCTTCATTAAATCTTCAAAAATCTTCTCTCCACAAATTCTTAATACCCTCTATCACGCTACAACCTCCTAATGCCCCATAATTAATTACCCCTATCTAACTAACAAACTAATGCCCAGAATCGAAAAAACAAGCACCACATACTAACACGATCCGAATCTACATTAAACATCATCACCAAAACACAACAAAAAAAAGAAGAGAGAGAGAGAAAAAAACACATAGCGCCTACACACATCGCGAAATCCTTCGAAAACGATCGACAAAAAGGGTTCGACCAGCCTGGTTCTTTATAAATAGAGGTGTTTAAAAGTAACCATCGGACCGGTTTACAAGGGACCCCATAAAGTAACATCACGG